GGACTGATCAGAGAGGCCGGCAGGTCGCTGCAGTCCGCCTTCAATGCTCTCCACAGGAGTTTTGACAGTAAGTAGTGTGTGTGTGTGTGTGTGTGTGTGTGTGTGTGTGTGTGTGTGTGTGTGTGTGTGTGTGTGTGTGTGTGTGTGTGTGTGTGTGTGTGTGTGTGTGTGTGTGTGTTTTCGACTGTGCAGGTGAAATGTTGTAAGTACTGGCCGGACGACACAGAGATTTACGGCGACATGAAGGTGACGCTGATCGAGACCCAGCTGCTGTCAGAGTACGTGATCCGGACCTTTGCCGTGGAGAAGGTAACACACACACACACACACACACACACACACACACACACACACACACACACACACACACACACACACACACACACACACAGTGTGTGTGTGTGTGTGTTGTGGTCGTGTGTTGTGTGTGTGTGTGTGTGTGTGTGGTGTGTGTGTGTTGTGTGTGTGTGTGTGTGTGTGTGTGTTGTGTGTTGTGTGTGTGTGTGTGTGTTGTGTGTGTGTGTGTGTGTGTGGGAGGATGTGTCCTATGCGTCAGGGGACCCCTGACTGGGCTGTCTATAAACTGAGAGCAGAGCTCACCCAACACAACTGCGAAATCGTGATAAGCCGATCCCCTGATCTCAAGGGCACAACACACACAACACACACAACACACACACACACACACACACACACACACACACACCACACACACACACACCACACACAACACACAAAAGAGGGGTGTCCCCCGGGGCAGCTGGCTGGTTCACTAATGANTGGCGTTCATCAGCAAGTGACAACTCTAGTCATATATCCTGTAATCTCACTTAATGTGTAGTTGGAACATGTCGGCACGTAGTAGAGTGCTCTTTTGTCACTACATGTGTCATTTCATTCACTTTGAAGGTACATGTTGAGCAATGACTCGCTGGGTCAAGCTAAGAAAGGTGACACCAGATGGAGTTAACTATGCAATTCAGAAATTGTGTAACATGGCCTCAAATTAAAGCGCATGAAATAGTCTGATACTATTCGTGAACAAATACCTAAGAAATGTAAATATATAACACTAAGTCTTGATTTATTTTTTATTTGTATTTTTAAATGATAATTTTCTCCTGTGGTCAGAGTAGGTTTATTATTTTGCCTGTCGCTACATTTTATTCGGTAATAAAAGCCTTTGTCATTTCATTTTTGCAAGTAATTTGTTTTCCTTTTAGGAATACATTTAGTCTTCCTACATGTTGGGAAATGATTCTACCACGGCATCACACTCTACTGTGCTCCAAAGCAATGATAGTATTCTGCTTTCATACAGCAGAGATTAAAGCCATTGTTTCAGTCAACAGTTTTCTTACGATTAGTTATTTTCCACACACTGGGCAATAATATTAACAATGCAGTTCTGAATAAAGCCCAATCTTGTGTTGCATTCCTAATGAATAATTATTTAGTAAACATTTATGCATTCTGAACCTGTATTTAAAATGTGTTAGTTGCAGCTGCATTACTCTATTTGCTTCTCTGTGATCAATACTTTTAATACAAAAAGAACATTTAGGATAGCATCTTAATCTCTAAGGAGATAATTTGATTGCTCCTCTAGCTTCACCATAGGGCAAAAACAGCCATTGTTATTGACTGATTTTATTACAAAGATACTTCGCAGTCATTACATGGGTTATGGGTTAAAAATCAGGTAAGAAATGAAGCGCAAAAGGCTCTTTTACATTGAGGACCTGTAAGTTAGCCATGCATACACATTTGTTTTAAATGTTTCAGAAGGATATCTTTACATTACATGTTAGACACTTTTATCCAAAGTGACTTACATACTGTGGACAATCCCAACAGGAGCACAACGACATGCTGACTGCAGTGAGGTTTGAACCTGTGACCCCCTGATCCCAACACCTACACACAACCCACTGCGCCACACACCTTTTTATTGCTACATATTGAATATGAACACTGTGTGAGCAATGTAAAATATAAGATGGCTGTGTATAGCTGGTTAAATGGTTGCGGTTTAGGGGGGAGGGTTTATTAAATATATACACTATATACTGTTATTTTGTATATATTTATTGCTGTACTTTTTTATCTTAATGTGTGCACATGTATACATGTGCCTGTTGATTGTGTCAAGGATATAAATATGTTATACATATTTTTATTTTTATATTCGGGATTGTGGGAAACGGTATTTCGATCTCTCTGTTCGTACACACAAACTGAAAGATTGACAATAACTTTGACTTGATTGACTAAAGAAAAAGACTGAATTAGTATGAAAGGTCTACTCAATTGAAATGAACTAGAGATGCCCGTTATCACTTACAAGTATATATTTGATGTAAAAGAGCTTAAATTAGCAGAACAGAAAAACACAATGCCTCTTTTCTCAAGACAACTTGAAAAAGATATTTCTAAACGCTGGTTTGATTCTGTCCGCTACCGTTTTAAATCCCCACATATCTTAATAATGTCCTCTCTCTTCCAAATCCCCTTATTCAATTATGGCAGCCTCTAATACATGTGTCAACATGTTTCATTAGTCTGTCCTCCTCTTCCACCAAAGAGATTAGCTCTCCCTTCTTTCTTTTTATTTACTAAATGCAGAAATATAATTTTCCCCAGGACAGAGGGAGAGAACTGTGAAAGAGAAAGTGATTATTTTTGTTCATCACATTTCATTCTAGTCGGCCAGCCAGAGATTATTTTTTTCCTGAAGAGACTATTAAATATGCTGCCTAACATTTACTTATTCAGCTTTCAATTTTGCTGCAGTCTACATTTAAATGCTTTGAGAATATTAGAGGGAGTGTGGTACTAGAGTGTGTGTTTTGTGTAAGTCTTGGCTATCTAACCCTGTTGCGTGAAATGCTTTTATCACTGAGCGAGTATTCATGAGCTTTATGCAATCGGACAATGCTAAGACTGTAAAAATATGACGTGGAGAAAGACTGCTTCATCTCAATAAGTGAGTATGAGCGTATGTGTGTCATAGAATGGGATCATTATTTCTATGAAAGTGCGTTCCCTTTGATGTTCCTTGTGGTAATTGTTGGGCGTTTCCAGTTCCTCAAAGGGTTTATAGCAGCTTCTATGTTGCTGAAGTCGGGGGGTGTATAGGCCGTGTGTAGGCAGGGACAAGATTAGAGTGCAGGCATGCTCTGCAGATGTATCCCGGTTACGGCGACTGTGCAGGACGGAGCACGAGAGCAAGGTATCACTGGTCATTATCATTCTGCTCCTGTTACACTCATCTCCTGATAGACCTCGTATCTCCATCCGCCCTGCTTCCCCGTCCCCTTCTCTATTCCACATATCCCTGTCTTCATCACTTTCCCCCTACCACTTGAATTGGTCTCGCTGGAAAGACAACATGAACAGAGGCAGAAACAAAGAGAGATAGAGGAGAAAGAAAACAATTAAATGGGAAAAGACATACATGGAAAGAAGGGTGCAGGCAAAGAGGAAGAAAGGTATGAGATGGATTGTGTTGTAATCACTGGTCCTTTGGCTGCCTGTAAAAGCAACATGCCTTTGGTCAGCCAATACCCAGTAAAACATATATTACAGTCTGAAGTCTAAATGATGCCCATGCTATTTCTCTTCCTCACCCCTCTTTCCCAGGGCCCACACTTTCTCATCTTGTCTGTAAACAAAGTTTCCACTGTGTCTTCGTCAGGAGTCCTACCCTTTGTTGTCATTGTTTCCTATTATTCCATGTGTTAAACTTCTCTGAACAGCCTAACTCACCTCAATCCTCCCTCCATCTCTTACTCGATCTCATGCGCTGCTCCAGCCATCCTACTTTGTATTTCCTCACTTTCCCTCTTGCCCCTGGTGACCTTAATTACAATGTAAAATTTTGATCTGGATCCAATTTCCAGCCTCTGACCACACAGCCCTAAGATTAATGCCCCATGGGTAAAATTCAATTAGGCTCCCCTCTGAATAAGGACTACACATGTTAGAAAAGGAGATTAAACAACAGGGTCCCACTATTGAATATTGGTATAAAAAACATTGGGGGTGAAGGTTCAGGTAATTATAAAAAAGGAGAGAGGGCAACAGCTACATATGAAGGATGACTAAATTAACTCCACTGCACTGAGCCTATGGGCTCATGCTGAGTTAAAGACCTAAATGGCCTCTATCATTCCATCAATGGGTCAATAGTCAATGAAATACTGTCAGTTGCCCTGGAAACCGACGCTATGCAACCGTATAAGGTTTATTTTCATCATTTGGGAATGTAAGCATTTGTGCCAAAAACAATCATTTTAAGCTACATGAGATAATCATGAACATGATTGTTTGATTCTTTAGATACAGGATTATGCAGCTCAAGCTATATGCTTGTGTAAAGCTACACTAGATGTCCTGTGTAACAGGTCTACTGGCATAAATTAAGCTTTATAAAATGTGTTTTATGTTTGGCAACATTTGGATTTAAATTGACCTCTAAAGTTTTAATATATATTACATTATAAAAAAGCCCTAACTTTTGTGTAACAGAATATATACTCTTCTGTTGTAATAAATGCATCAATCCACACTCTAGATTGGGTCTCTCTGTTTTATAACATATTTGACCAATTTAAGTGAAGCGTAATCTGCATCAACATTACTTTATGTCACATAACAATCCAGCTGTATGTGTTTTGAACATAAAACCTGACTACAGAGTGATTAATGAAGAGTCTGTAAGCTCCTCTGTTTCACTACAGGATTGAGTTTTTGACATTAGATCACAGGTGGCTTTAAATTCACCAATAGTCAGGGAATTTGATGTGTGTGTGTGCATATGTGTGACCAGCAGTGCGTGTCCATCCCCTTGTAAAGTGGGAGTTTGCTGTGTGTATGATGTGCCCTGTCAGTTCCTCTAAGTGAAGCTGCCAATAACGAGGCGTGACTAGCCTAAGAAACACAATTCAGGCTTCCGATCAATCTCAGAGGGGGGGGGGGGGGGCAGAGGGACCGGGACTGTCATGCACCTCAAACTCTGTCATTCGCTTCACCTCAAGGCACCCACTGAAGGTCACAGAGTGGCCT